TAAAGCTTAGAACGGGCACAGATATGCATTAAACTAACACGCGCCCAACTTTTTTCCAACTCATTAAATGTAATCGTATTAAGGAATAATCCTAATACAGTATGCAGTGTAAATATAGAACTAACAACCAGCACACACATGCCTAACTTTTTTTATGCAGTACATTAAATATAATCGAATCAAGAAATGACCCTAATACAACATATTTATTCTAATAAAGTCTGTTTCATAACACGTGTCAATTTTTTTTGTGTGATGAATCATGTTGTGGTAACAATGATGAAATAAGTTGTGACTGGAAAATAAAACTTGTTGATAGAACGATACGAACACAAATCACATTAGCCTGAGAAGGTTTGGTGTAGACCTCTATACGAAATTTAACGAAAATCCGTTAAGTAGAATAAGAAAAGAAACATGGGGGAGGGGGCAATCATCCCATAATGCATTATTCTTATGACACTCCGTGTAAAGAACGCATAAAAGCGTACGAATACTAAAGCAACGTGATATTATTTCACATGAACTGAGTGCAGTCATTTATGTATACAAAGGCATAAGGATACGAGTACTTTAATATAATCCGGTCGTCTTTCTTCAAACATATCTTTAATTCACATGCATTAAAGGCCTTAATGACGTTGCTGTGTATGTCTCGAACTGCAGAACTGCAACTGGCCTTCATGCTTTAGCGACGTTTGTAGAATTGTTATCGACTGCACAATGTCAGCTTGTGTTATGTTACGAATAAACGGGTAACAGCTTCTGTTTTATGATGCAGAATTTAAATGCATTTACAGCACGAATAGAGGAAAGCACTAAAAGAAATGTTGTTCAGTTCATGAAATATCCGTATCGTGTTGTCAGTAAATATATAGGTGTATAAATGTATATGCCATCAGTTATTAAGGCAATAAAACATCATAACATATAGACATCAGCGAGATATGAGTGAATTTGATGCAACTGTTTACTCTAAAATCGTTTTATTAGGTATAGAAGAACATTGGTTCCTATAGGGCCTAATTAATAAATGGAAGTTAAAACATTTGGTTAAATTAGGTTAGGTTGGCGTATCAACCCGTGGTTTGAAATGTCCGCAATTAAACAAAAATATTCAACAATTATATTTTTTCGAGAAACTATATGAAATTTTAAATTTGTAATATTGTGATTTTTTAATTCTGGCAATTTTCAAATTTCCGATTTTAGAAATTTTTCGACTTTTTGGATTTGTAAATGTCTGAACTCTCTGACAGATTGTAAAATGTTTGAGTTTTCCGAAAAAGAAGTCGAGTTCTTATAATTTAGAGAGTTTCCCAATACGTATATTTTCATTTTTTTCAAAACATCGAAATTTGATAATTTTCAATTAGCGTATGTTAAGTAGGTTAGTTTAGCTTCAGTTATTTTTAGTTGGATTAAGTTTACGAGTCAAACTACTGCTCATATGCCTTCGGATTCACCTCCACATTTCGGCAGAGCTTGATCAGTTTGGGTTACGGTAGGTTAGTGTTGGGAATTGAGACTCTTTTCCCCTTTAATTCCTTGACTTATGATCCATGATTGCATATGCGTTTGCTCTACTGTAGTTGTTGCGTGTTATTTTCCGGGCAGTAACGACGTTACCCTGGAAACGCTAAAGTGACAGCTCAGGTACCATTGCTTAGCAAAGGTGAGTAAACAGTCGTTGCTATGTAAGGTCTACAACAATATGTGACGTGTGCTAGCCAATCGCAAGCTAGAAACCATTCAAAGCCTGCAACAATGCGGACAGTGACATTTTTTCTATAGGTCCGACTCTATGTTATATAAGAAGATACATTGGGTGGTGTTGACAGACCTTCTCGTCAAAGAGGAAGTTACATAAGGACTATTACCGCAAGAGTTCAGTTGAAAAAAAATCTCTGGTCGTGGGCCTCAAGGGGTCTGACGCCAAGACGCACTGATTGGCGGTAAACCGCCAGTCGTAAAGTAACGCTGACTCTGACTCTGTGGACAGACTGTGACCCTGAGAGTCGTAGGAGGTGACGAAAAGGGAAGTCTCAAATGTGAGGCAGTAAAGTATAGTCTAAAGTCCCAAGGGACTAGGACCCGAGAAACACTGCGCTGGCAAGGGCCGGCATCATATACAAAAGACAGACCCATCCTCTTAGTGTCGAGCCCCATCTGAGGATCATGATAGATATTTACTACCCTTTGACGGTTACGATTTTGTTTTTGTGGGGCGCCCTCTCTGACGAGAGGACGGGGACCCCGCCTCCAAGTCCAAGTCACATTGCGACTGACGGTCAGTCGGTCAGTAAGTCTTGGTGTTGAGCCCCATTTGGGGCTCATGACCAGATATTTATTACTGTTTGGCATTTACGGTCTTGTTTTTGTGGGGCACCCTCTCTAACGAGAGGACGGGTCTGCCTTTTGTATATGCTACTGGCCTTTGCCAGTGCAGTCTTTCTCGTGCCCGAGTCTCTTGGGACTCGCGACCATATTTTACTGTCTCAAATTTGAGACTTCCCTTTTCGTCGCCTCCTAGTCGAAGTCGAAGTCACATTGCGACTGCGACGAAAAGGGAAGTCTCAAATCTGAGACAGTAAAGTATGGTCGCGAGTCTCAAGCGACTCGGACCCGAGAAAGACCGCTGGCAAGGACCAGCAGCATATAGAGAAGGCAGACCCGTCCTCTCGTTAGAGAGGGCACCCCACAAAAGCAAGACCGTAAATATCAAGCTGTAATAAATGGTCATGAGCCCCAGATGGGCGACGTTCAACTACCTCATACAGGCGTTTTTCGGACTGCTTAGTGAACACCTTTCTCTGCAGTTCGGTTTTCCCTCTGCAACGAACCCTCTGTTGTCCATCTCCGGGGAAATGCGCTTGTTGTTTCGGCAATCTCTACGCAACGGTCTGTCTTATTGGATTTGTCGCTGTGGGAACTCAACAATTTCCATTGTTTTCGTTGCTAAGCGATAGGCGACATATAACACGTTACAATACGAAAGGACCGAATGTGAAATTACTTGTTCAGCATTTGTGTTACTTGTAGTTACTTGGAAGAGTGATAAAGTGACGTTGCAAGAATACGCCTCGAAGTCTTGTTTCACGACAGTTATGTTAAATGAGAGCAATGCGCATCCATCTCGGCATCCACGTGCTCATTAAGGCAGAACAGCGCCACACTGGGTAAGGTTAGATTATGATACCGCTATTTTGCCGTTGGAAGTGATGTGAGCCATAAGCGAATGCAGTGTGATTGCTCCGTCTTGTAACGTTATGGACGGCTCTACTACGTTAATATACAAAACAGCGATAAAAAGAATGGAAACTACGTAACTGAAACGGTGGTGCAGAGGACAATTGTTTATTTGCATGTTCCCATATTATCTTCTGAACAGCCTTCTAGGGACTGGCCGTAGAACTTGAATAACTCTGTCTGTACTGTCTCACACAACCTTGTATACAAGTATTGTAAATTACATTCAGTGTCTTAGTACTTATAGCTACACATTTCGACCTTGAAGTCGCCATCAAGTTACAGTACAGGTGTTCTGACGGAAATTATTTTAATTTCTTTAGCTCTTAATGTTGGTCATTGTACGTTTCGTTATTTAACTTAAATTTAAGATTTAATTTCTTTCTATACTGTATGTGTACATTTACAGAATTATAAAATGTACTGATTCGCACAAGTCGCCATTGGGATTATAGTATCTGGTTCGTATGTTAATGCTTTTTTTTTCATATGTCTGGTACCTCACGCAGTGACTCGTGTCATGCGCTTCTGGGAACATGTATTACTTGGTTATAATATTTTGTTGGTGAAATTCTTTTGTACGACTTACTACCTTATCTCATATTGTGCTGTATTTTTCGCTCTTGTTCTTCCGATTAATTTATTATTCAATTATCATTCATCCGTGAGATATCCTGTTCGAATCTCGACTGGATGTCAGATATCTCAACTAAAGCTGTGTTATACATTGCAGACAGATTTCAATATACAGTATGTTCCCTTTAAACCGCCCACATTTTAATTAATCATTGCGAACAAATTGTGATAAATTATGGATTATAATGAAAGAAAAACTCAAAGAATTTTATTTCCGTTTTTCTTCGGTGAAGCTACAGTATCTGGCCGCGTATACCTTGACATGTTAGAACAGTTCCTGTATCCTCAGGTAGCCGATCTGCAGCCTAACATAATCTTCCAACAAGATGGAGCCCCCCACATTGGGGTCAGGATGTTCGGAGGTCCCTCAGTGCCACCTTCCAAGATCGTTGGATTGGACGTGGCGGCCCAATTCGGTGGCCACTACGTTCACTCGATTTCTTCCTCTGGGCTTACGTGAAGGACCGTGTGTTCGTGCCTCCAGTGAATGACCTCCCAGATTTACGAGCCCGCATCCGTGAAACGATTACCATTCATACTTTCTGTTCTGAGATCTTATAAAATGTGAGAGGTTTGAATGGAACACCCTACAGTGTTTGAATTAGTTCACCTCTATCTCCTATGTCCTTCCTTGTTTGTTGTACATATTGTAACCTCATTCGGGGTGAAATAACTTCTGAATCGTTACAGGTCGTTGTAACCAACGCTATTCCAGCATTTTCCAGAAGGAACAAGAAAACAAAGAAAATATCAGTCAGTATAAAGGACCTGGGCCGGTCACGGTAGCCGAGCGGTCTAAGGCATTTACTGTCTTCGCTCGCTTGGAAACCGGGATCGTGGGTTCAAATCCCACTCAGGGCATGGATGTTTAGTTTGTGTGTGTGCGTTTTTCTGTGTTTGTGTACAGGTAGAGGCCTTGCGACGAGCTGAGCACCCGCCCAAGCAGTCCTACCGAATGTGTAAGATCTAGAAAAACCGAAGTGAACAGAGAAGTTCATGGAGGAAGGCCTAGGCCCACTGGGGCTGTAGTGCCAAGGGGGGGGGGAAAGGACCTGGTCGTCGAATGTTGATAATACAGATTTCTACATTCTTTGACAGTTTCATTGTTATTTCAGGGCAGGATTTTCGATGGGCGATCATACCCTTCTCGTACCGAACGTCTTGTTCGCAGAAAACCGTCGTCGTTTGTGCCAGCGACTCAGAGAGAACACCAGCGTGCTCCAGAATGCGTTTATCCTACTTCAGGGTGGAGAATCTCTGAGTCTGTATGACACGGACGTCGAATACGTCTTCCGACAGGTAGGTGGGACAAAATTATTTATTCTTAATAAAAATCACCATTTGAGCTATACAAAATTATATTTGAAAAAGGCGTCTCTAAAATTATCTTTTACTTTTACTTTACGGCTGTCAAGAATAATGTTGTCGAATACAAAATTAGCGTACTTTTTGTTGTTGTTTCATTTCGTTATCCATTTTCATGGGAAAGTTGAAAGGCCATAAGTTGTAAATAGTAATTTTTTCCCCTTTGTGTTTCGTTACTTTTCGAAATGAGATCAGTTCTACTGATATCTACAGCCGTAATAACCTCATTGTTTATATGCTGTATGCAAATGAAGTCATACCGGTATTGAAAGCGCGAACTTTCCTCGTCATAATATTTCATTCCAACTTTCTGTCACGTGGTAATTGTTCTCCAACCTCCTAGCTTTGCGTTTTTAGGCTGTGAAACGCGTGAGTTTCTTTTCTCTTTTCCTTCTTTTACAGCCATGTACGTAGATAAGAGAGTAGAAGGTAATAACTTAAAAGCTTATAACACTTTATATTGTAAGAACTGCTCTGTTTTTGTAAGCCTATTTGAGGCAGTTAAATGCCCAAGGACAACTGATAAACAGGAAGACAACAACAATTCAAACCAGTAGGAGGAAGGCTCTACCTAATCATGTTAAATAAGTATGGAGTAACCAACCGCAATACACAAGAGGATAATTTTTTAAGGCAGTAGTCGATCAGCTAGCCTAGAAGTTTCCAAGGCTTATTATTGCATCACAACAGCCTGCCGCTGAAGCTGTCTCTAAGCTACATTTATACACCCAACTCAGTTTCCATAAGAGCCGTCATAACATTATTTTCCCATTCCGATCTGGGTTTTCAAGTGGTCGCTTCCTTTTAAGGTTTCTAACCAGAATTTTGTATGAATTTCTGGTTTCTCCGATGCTCGCTACCGCTGCAGCATACAGTTTTTTTTTAATGTAAGGAAAATGGATCTTAGAGAAATAGGATGGGATGGTGTGGATTGGAGTGATAGGGACCAGTGGAGGGCTCTTGTGAACACGGTGATGAACCTTCGGGTTCCATAAAATGCTGGGACATTCTTGAGTATTTGCAGGATTGGCGGTTCCTCAAGAAGGGGTCAGCTCCACGAATAAGTAAGTAAGGATATTGCCTTATTGTGGGGTCGATGTTCTCTCCTGTCGATTGCACCTGAGGCAACTGCCCTGACAGCTCACCCTATTCCAGCCTTAGCAGATTCTATGTTAAAGAAATTACAAACAGTTTCTTGCTTTTGAATTATTTAAATAATATATACATTCTAACGGCTAGTGCAGAGGAAGACGAAGGAGAAGAGATTTATTAAAGATGAGACTTGTAGAAAAATAGTTTTTTTGATTTCTGTTTCGCAGGGACCGTGCCATAACGTACGAAATACTATATTTGCATCTGTAAAGAATAAGTTTGTAGCCTATCCAAAATATTTAAGCTATTAAGGACTGCTGGGAATTCCTGGTATTTATGACTCAAAACACTTGAAATGTGACTTACATGTCTTATCAGGACTGCATGTGATGACAAATGATTGAAGTTCACGTGTGTTGATATGCACACATTTGTTGTTTAGCTCGTTTGCACTTCCGACTCACTGTACAATATAAGTCTGCACACATTTTTTGTTTCCGTTGGTGCACGTGTTTAAACACGTCGTGTTTAATATTGGGAGATTTAAAGAAAATTATTAAATTTGATTCATGTTAAGTTAATTTATATAAATGTTTGTGTTCTGTATGTACACTTAGTCGTATATAGTTACTTTAATGATGTATCTAAGTCCTATATAACACAAACAAAACTATATAATATGAGGCCTAATCTGACAGTGAGAAATGCTTATAAGATATTGCTGGAAAAGCCAGAAGGAAACAGACTACTCGGAAGACCGAGACGTAGGTGGGTGAACAATATTAAAACGGATCTTAGAGAGATATAGTGGGGTGATATGGACTGATCGATCTGGCTCAGGATAGGGACCAATGGAGGGCTCTTGTGAACACGGTACCGGTTCCATAAAAGCTGGGAAGTTCATGAGTTTAGCTGCACAATTGGCGGCTTCTTAAGAAGGGCTCAGCTCCATTGAGTGAGAACCTGGCAGTATTTCAGTTTCGCTTTTGAGTTGTGTTTGTTACATTGCGTAAATCCGTGTGCGCATAACATCAAGCATCAAACAGTATTGTAGAGATGATTGAACAGCAATGTAAGTAGGTTAATAAAACTACACGTATTTCGTATTTCCGTATTATTCCGTAATATAACTTCATTTGATGAAATTTCCCGTTGAGCACCTGATGTGGTGATTACCACGTGGAGTAGCAATATTTGTTTTGTGAGCCATGATTGAGTCAGGATAACATTAGATAAATTTGGCATGAATCGCTGTTCAAAGATTTTTTTTAACAATGATATATAAGAGCCTATATAATAGTATAATATTAAGGAAATAAAGAGAATTGGAAATAAGGTACATAAGTTCGTGCAGATGCCTATATCGGTTGAATTAAGTACAGGTTTTAGGTGTGTGGCGAAAGAGGCGTTTTGAGAATGATAATGACAGTTTTAGACAACGAAAAGAATGGCCAGATATAAAATAACATTTACATTTTGGTAAATATTAACTTAAAAGTATAGCACATTTCACATGTAAATATGTGAGATGGCGTTACAGAGATCATGTTACGGACATCCGATGACGTATAATGAACGTACATATATTACTTTTTGAGAACATCAGTCCAAGCTCTGAAAAGGCTTAAGACAAACTCCCTTATATACTTATATTTTGTTTGATATTATTATCCATTATTAGGGTATAAGATCACCTCTGTGGTCTAGTGGCCAGAGTCCCTGGTGCTACCAGATTTTCTGAGAAGTAGTGGGTCTGCAACGGGGTCCACTCAGCCTCGTGAGGATAATTGAGGAGCTACTTGAATGGGAAAGTAGCGCTTCCGGTCTAGAAAACCGAAATTAACGGCCGTGGGGATTCGTTGCGCTGACCACGCGATACCCTCTATCCGCTAAAGTTGGCACTAACTTCGCCGACAAGCGGCGGTAGCTCGGTCGGTATAGTTCGCTTGCGGACTAATAATTGAAAACAACGTTACCGAAATTGGATCCATTTCTGTAGTTAGATGTAAAGAGGAGCAGAATCATACTCGGTTGAGCTGTTAGAAAGAGCTAGTCATTTGACCTCTCAAATCGCTCTTTCGAGCAAGTCCAGCTGAGTGGGATCCATTTCCCTGCTTACACCTGACGACGGAAATGAGTTCAGCTCCCGAAACGTTGTGTATATGAAATATACCCCAGACAGTGGACAACGTCCATACATAAACTTCATGTAATAAATCAGTGAACCCTAGTAGAGCTTATTCGCCGGGGTCTGAAAATTCGGAGCTTAATTCGAGCAGGGAAATGGATTTCTGTCTTTTCCTTGGGTCCAGACTGGCTCTGGGGCCCACCCAGTCTTCTGCCAAATGCATATCTGGATCTGTCCGCGGTTGTACACTGACTACAGTTTGAAATTTACCAGTGATATCCGTATAGTACAGAGGTCTCTCATGCTTTAAGACGCGTGATTTGTAAACCGTACATCTCTTTACTCATATCGCCGAACCGAGCAGGTTGTCACAGCGGTAATGCTCTAGATTCGTTTCCGAGAGGCTTTCAGTTCGAATCTCCTTTGCGACTACTGCAATAATGCAAGAATCAAACTAAAAGCGCTGTTTGTTTGTGAAAGGAAGACGTGTGGTTAGTGCTATTAATATTATTTTTTCAGATTATGGAAGGTTTTAAAAAAATGTTATTGCAACGAAGATCTCTTGCCACTTTAAGACGAAAATTTGTACCTAGACCAAAGACAAAAATCACCACATTCGGAACTGAATCCGAACATTTCTCCTTGAGAGCTCTGTATACTTCATCTCCTCGAGTCTCCCCGGAGGCTGCTTATGTTCAGTTCCAACACTACGCACTTGGGGCAGAACGTATATTCCTTACTGCTGGCTATACAATGCCCGGATCCGGTGTGTAACGCAAGTAAAAAAAGAGAATTGTCACATACAGTTTCTGTATTTCTTTCCCTTTTCTTTGAGCGACGATTTTGAAAATTTCTCCGTTATCTCTACGAGGAGGAAGTATTTGCCTATTTTTCTTGATCGGTGATTTCCTGTTTTTCAACTAATAACTGTATCGTATAGAAACAGATTGCTATTTTAGATTGCAGTTGATCATTTCGGCCTTTATCGTAATGGTAATGTTCAAAGAGACAAACGGAACAGCCAATGCATACGTTAACACAAGAACGTTCAACAGCGAAGAAACCTGACGAAACTTAGTACAATTATTTTTACTGCCGCAGTTTCTAGATCCAGAATTCTGAAGACTCTGGTTCAATATACGCTAAGCTTCAGGAAATCAGGAGCTTACTGTTTGCTTCTCGTTTGTTGCTTAGTTTGCTTACTCTTCGAGCCCAAATATGGACAGGGTACATTCCTGCAAAACATCGGTAAACTTCTACCGTCCTCATTCATTCACTAATTTCCGTCTATAATGCAAACACAACGTTTTATTTTAAAAATGTAATTTATAATCATATTTAAAATCCATAGAATGCCATTAAAATCACATTTTCTATTTATTTGTTGCTACATGTTTGGGCCTCACAGGGTCATCATCAGGCAACCAGTAATTGATCGAAATCATTGCTCTGCATGGTCTCACACGTCAATATATTTACATGCTATTATCACATGTCGTCGTATTCGAGAACCTACGCCCGCACTTTCCTTATGCTATTTTCGTGTTGCGGAGTTCACCTTGTGTTCCTTTGTCAGTAGTTTTCCTAGGTCGGGCGTGTGTCCCTTGTATTGATTGCAACAGGATGCTAAAATGTAATATCCTGCCCTCTTACATCGCGTCATATCCCAGAAGATATGACGATAACATACAAAATATGTGTTATTACAGAGCTG